GACACAATCCTTGTGCTGGTGATTCATCCCTACAGCCTAGAGTATATGTGTTTCAAGTCCAAGAAAAATCATGAGGAGCTAGTCCAGTTCTACAAGGATGGCCTCCTCATGGGACAGTAGGTGAGCCACCTCCCCGCTCCAGGTTGAAGTTTCCTATATATAATAGGGGTTAGTTTGGAGCATCACTTCCAACTCTGAAGTTTTCTGGCTACTAATAAAAAGGAAGACCAGAATTAAGTTATTAATTCAAGGTCAAAAGTAGCCAAGTCAGGAGAAGTTTGGTTAGGGTGTAATCACAACCTGTGGCTTAAAAAGGAGATTATCTGAAGTCAAAGTTTCTTGACTGAATTAGTGTAAGCTAGACCCACCTACGACTCTGACCCCTTAATTATCCTGATATGTTCAACCTATGAAATTCAATGAGGCCTTTTCAAGCCCAAGTCTCATATTACAGGGGTGAGAACGGGAGTGGAGGAGGGGAAGGAGCACCCAAAGTCACAGAATAAATCAGTTATGTTAATTGATCATGTCAATTTTGCCTAAAGATGATGAGGGTAAATCTGAATTTTTGCTCTTCAATGGTGTCTTCATACTTAAGCCAAAGCTAAATCAATGGAATTTCTCCTTTCTAGATTAGTCATTTACATATCTTTTAAAGATAAAACAGGTGACTCCTTCCAAATGTTAGGTCCTGGGGAGTGAGGGCACCCTGAGATGTCCTAGAGGGATAGGACTTGGAATCAGATTGATCTGACTTCCATTTCAAATTTTGCTGCCACCATCCATGTGAGCTTGCAGGCTCCAAATGCTTTTTACCTGAATCTGCATTCCTCACACTTTAGATATGTATTAGACACTATGCTCTGGGAAAGAAAATGCAAAAGTGACAAGGTTTTGTTCCTCAAGGATAGATGGCATTTACAGTTGAGTAGAAAAACAAGCAAATGAACAGCTCAGTGGATTGTGAAATGACAAATGTATGCACAAGAAAGAACTATGGTACAGGGAGGGAGAAGACTCCCTTGGGGTTTTATTTTCCTCAGAGATAGGGACAATAATGGCCATGTTCTATTTATGGATTAGATGAGACAATGGCTGGCACTTTCTAGATGCTCAGTAAATCTCAGGACATGATAGTGCTACAGGTTCCTGAAGAGCAGCTTTTGTTTGCTCATCCATGCAAGATCCAGCCACATAGCAAGGGTGTCTGCTAAAGAACATGCCTTAGGCTGGATGCTATAGCATGTGTCTATAATCCTGCCACCAGGGAAGCAGAGGCAGGAAGATTACAAATTCTAGGCTAGCCTGGGCTACAAAGCAACAGTATGTAAACACATACATACATACATACATACATACATACATACATACATACATTCTTGACTTAACAGCTGGAAGATTTTTCAAGGTCATAGCCTGGATATGAACTCTACCACAAAGAAACTGTCCTCTTATACTAGGATCCTGATGAAGTCAACTCTCCTGAAAGCTGGGTCTGCACACAGGTGGTGCTAGGAGTTTAAAGAAGAGCTTTGGCCTTGAAATGCCCTCCAGGTGCAGCCAATGGGAGCAGCTGGTTCTGTATAGCCAGTTGCCAGTCAGTTGCCAATCATCATACAAATTCTGCCTTCCTGGTTCTTTCTATTTAGCAATCCTGTGCCCAAGTTCCTTGTCAAACGAGCACACCTGGAGTTGGAATCGCCTCTAGAGGATCTGGAGGGTAAGGGATCACTAGCAGTTTAAAACCACCTTCGGTGTTGTTGGCCTTTAGAGATTACAATGAGTTACCTTAATACACTTCGTACATACACTAAAGCTAGGAAAGAAGGAAGTTGGCTTGACCTCTGTAGGTTAAACCGTAAATCCACCCAGATGGAATTGGAACAGACAAACCCAGGAAATTCTAAAGAGACAAAGGCTCCTGGAATGGCGTTGACTATAACCCAATTAAAGGCATTAGCACAGCATAGGAAAGACTGCCGGAGGTTGGGCTTGGGAATGGTCAAAGGAGCTGAACGAAGGCAGAGACTCTCCCATTCTGGTTTTTAAGATGCACTTGTACTGTTATTTCAATAGTAAGAGCTATGGCTATTTTTGAAATGCTACAGCTTAAAGATAGTGATAATATTTTATTGTTCTAAAGACTTGTGAAATTAGCATTAATATATTAGCTATTTTATATTACTAGGCTTGCATTTATAAGAATATATGCTAATACTTATTGAAGGCTTAAAATTTGCCAGTGCTACAAAATATCACTTTATTTAAGTACTAAGTGCAAATTTTTATATGACCGGGGTTGGGGGGGTTGGGGGGGTTGGCTATGTAGCTCAGACGAGCCAAAAATTCTTCATCCTTTTGTCCTAGCAGGAGTGCTGGGATTGGAGTTGAATTTTACCATACCTGGCTGTCAAGTACTTTCTATTCAGTGTCTTTTAAAACCTCACACTCCCTGAGAGAAGATGACACTCACTCATTTCACAGATAAGGCCACAGAGACTAAGTGGTGAAATGGCAGATAGAACCAGAGCCAGAGCCTGGAGACAGAGCCTGGAGCACAGACTCAAGAGTCTGTGTCCTAGGACTCTTAATCCCTAGGAGATTAAAGAGTTTGCTTCTAATTCTCCTGGTTGATAGAACAATGCTCCACAGTCAAAAACTTAGCAGACCAAGAAAAGACCAAAGTAGGAAGAAGGAGAAAAATATGAGGATGTGTTCTAGGGGATGGATGGGGAAATTCAGCATTATGTTTATAGTAGTGGGGACAGGCAGAGAGGACGTCTGGAAGCCTTGTTAGATTGGTAGAAGCATAGATATGGGAGAGAGGAGATGGATGGATGGATGGGTGGATGATGGATGGCTAGATGGGTGGATAGAAAGAGAGACAGATGGAGAGACAGAAAGTGATCCAGTTCTCTTCTATAATATGAGCTGAGCTGACTTCATTAATATCTATCCTAGGAAATTAATTACCTAGAACCAAGCAACTGAGTTTGGTCCTGTTTTCTCTCTGCTTTTCCCTGGATGGCCAGATCATTTCCTCTTCACGTGTTTTATGTACATATTGAAAATTACTGTAAAATATTAAAAAGAGAGGAGAAAAAACACCTTGGATACCACAGCTAACATCTATGTAAGCTAGCTTACATCTATGCTTTGTGTATAGGTTTTAAACCTGGTTATTGCATATGTCTCAACATATAATATATATGCAACCTTGTTTTCTGTAGTGTTTCTTTTTAAATTACAGCATAAGCATTTTCACAATATCATAATTTCATTGTAAACATCCATTATATGAATGCATTGTGATTCACTTAATCAATTTCCAACTGTTAGGCTTTTATATCTTCTCAGTTTTTTTCCTTACTTGTAAGTAATGATTCTAGGACATTTTCCATTGTTGCATAAAGTCTTACTCATATTTCAGATTATTTCTTTAGTCTAGGTTCCTAATATTCCTATTGTTGTCTCAAAACTACAACAATAAATTTTGAACCCAAGACATTTTTAGGAAAAAATATTTTTGCTCTGTCTTTTGAATTTTTCCTTCCTGATGCCTGATGGGTAGTTCCCACGACTTTCAGAATCAGGTCTGTGCTTCCTGAAGTAACCAACAAGCTCTCTGTGGCAGTTCTCTGCCTGCCACCCAGCCTTGCCTCCCACCCTTTCTCTAGAGGTTCCCTCTCATCCTGCAGAACAAACTCATAGCAATTCCCTGAATACGTTGACCCATCTAATCCCTGTGTATTCCCTCTGCCTGTAATGCTCTCCTAGTTTTTGTCAATCAAACTCTACTCTTCCTTTTAAACTCAGCCGGATTCCTCCAGGCAGCCTTGTCTGACCCAAGTCCAGTTCAGATGACCTTGCTTTTCCCACAAGGCATATACGTCCATCCTACCACCACCTGTGCTGCAATCATAGGTCTAGGGTTCCACACCAGGGAGCTGTGCACTTTCTATGCCTAAGAATCTATTTAATCACACATGTAATGATGGTCAATCTTCGTGTGTGTATGTGAGAACAGATGTATATGCAGAGTGCCCAAAGCAAGTCACATGTATCATTTCATTTAATCCTGATAATCACCCCTTACAAATGAAGAAACAAAAGCTTAGAATGGCTAAGGGACCTGCCCACGGAGGCTAAAAAGCTATTGAATATTGAATTGAGATTTAACACCAGGCCTGAGTGTTAGCTATAATTCTTAGCCTGAATTCTTAGCTATAAATGCTTACAATGGAAAAGACTCCTATATGAGGGGCTTCAGACTTTTAACCAATTTTTTTTGGAGACCAGCTTTGAAACCACTACTCCAATCTAGACATCAGCTTCTGGAGGGGGAGGGATGGTTTCATAGTTGCCTATGTGTTCTAATGTCCAGTGCCAGGGGTCAGAAAATTTCTTGTTGAAAAGTGAATGGATCCTTTATGTTTTGAAGATTATAGCTAAGTTACATATACATTGAACAGCCGTGAGGTAAAGCAGGCTACGGAAGCATAGGATGACAGGGGAAACATCAAGGCTCATTGGCCAGAAGTTCAGGCCGTGCTGAGGCCAAGAAGACACCTGGGATCAGTATGGGGCCTAGGAGAAGGGCACTAGTACTTCAGGAGGGTAGGGGCAATTTCCTGTTAAAAGGTTAAACAGTTCAGTTCTGGCTGGAAGCAGTGATTAGACTGGTCCTTTCATCAGAATTCCGCTCTCTTCACCACAGTAAATAATGGACTAATTAGGCATCTGGCTTACTTGATTTCCCATGGCTAAGGCCAATTTCTGAAATGCAATATGCTATTTGATGTACCAGCATGAATTCATCCTGGGCTCCAGAGCCTTCTAACATCAACAACCAAAAATAACTCTCAGAAAAGTTCCACATATGTTAAACACAAAACATCCTAAAATGTAGCCTGTACCCAATTACAAGTCTGCTCAGCTGAGTCCCTAGCAGAGTAGCAGATCCCAGCCCACTCAGATGAGAGGCACAGAAGGGGAGTGAGGTCAGGAGTAAGTTTGCAAATGGATGGGGTGGGTTAATCAGAGAAATTGACCTGGAGAAAAAACTGGAGCAGTTGGTTAAATGATGAGACGTTAGTCTAGGGATATCAGACTGACACCCAGAGACTCCTTTGCAGCTAGCTCACTGTGGCCTGGATAATTAGGTGATTGAGGGAAAGGGAAAACAGGTACGCAAGCGTGGTTTAACTTAGAAATCAGAGTAAATGAATAACCACTGATAGCAGGGAAGAAGTGAAGGGGAGAACTTGAGAATCTGTGAGTTTATGAGGGGCTGGATGCTAACCCTCCAATTTTCCAAATTAGTGCTTTTGACAAAAGATTCCATTCGTGGGAGCTCTTGGTGACAGGGGATCCGCAGAAGTGAGAAAGGAAGGAAAAAAGATGAGTCAATAGAAATACAGTGGGAGAAAAGTGCAGAGGTGTGACAGTGAGGCTGCAGTGCATTTCTCTCTTTCTACAGAATGTTTTCCTTGGGAATGTTTTAGTGCCATTTTGTTGGAAATGATGGGTGGGCTGAAGGGTCTGTCAAGCTTCTCTCCCCAAACTTTTGTTGGGGGTCTTCTGAGTGTTGGACTAGATCAGATGACTGAGACGCACAATGGAAAAGAAAAACAAAAACATAAACAAATCATAACTTCCATCTTTTAAACAATCATGACAACCGTCATTCAAACACTTTAACCAGGAAGTATATCTCAGCTCTGTGGGATGTCTATAGGAACCCAAACGACCATCCTGGGGAGACTGCATCTTTTTTTTTTTTTGTCAGTCGTGAGGCTGGAACTCTGGGCCTGGGCACTGTCCTTCAGGTCTTCAGCTCAAGGTTAATGCCCTACCACTTGAGCCACAGCAACACTTTGGGTTTTCTGAGTGGTTTATTGGAGATAAGAGTCTCACGGGCTTTTGTGCCCAGGCTGGCTTTAAACGGGGATCCTCCTATGTCAACCTCCTGAGTAATTAGGATTACAGGCGTGAGCCACGGCACCCAGTGAGACTGCATCTTAATCAACTGCTCAAGAGGTTGTCAGTGAACTATCTGGCCCTGTTGTGCGATGTAGCTGAGAAAATGGAGTCCTGATCAGAGGAGACGGTGCAGTACCAAGCTTATGAAGTATTCTCTATTAATGTCTGTGGAATAAACCTGATCATGGAAACTCTTTCCTGCCAAAAGCCATTTGGATATTTCTAACATCATTCGAGGCCATACAAAATTATCCATACAGGTAAATGGATGCAGGCAGCTGACCAGGTATATATGAGAAGCACACCTGTCTGCTCCATCATGTACCAAATAATTTCCTTGACCTTATACAGTCCACAGGCCATACATTCCCCAGAGCTAGAGTCTATTGACAGTTACAGGTGAGCCAAGAAACAAGGGCTTACTGTGGACAAAGATACAGACAAATCTTGAAGTAAGTAGGCTTGAAAGTAGATTCTGCAGAATAAGGAAAATTTTTGTCTCTCGGCTTCGAACACTCATCTATCCATTTAGCAGACCCCCATTCAAATGTTAATTCCCAGGTTTGATGACTGGTTTTCTTTCTTCCCCTCTGCCTTTCCCCTTGTCTCACAGTATTCCTTGAGAACCTGTGCTCTATTCTGGGTGCTGGCAATAAAGAGAGGGCTTCAAAGGGACCACAGTCTATGGTGGAATATGGGAGCTGGGCTGTGGGGACAACAATGTAATTGCTTAGTTAAATGCATGAAGTAACAGCATAAATTTTCATGGGCCTACTTTGAGGTTATTTGTGTAGTGTCTAATCCTTACAGAAATCCCAGGAGATAGACACTGTCATTCCCAAATTGCAAGTAGGAGAACTGAGCATAGAAAATGTAATAACAGACATGACTCAAAGAGAACCTTTTAGCAACTTTGCTGATTCTCCCCCAGGGCAATTTAAACCAAATACCTGTGTATTCAGTTACTGAGAGGTATCTAGACTCTTTCAGGATGGAAAGATGTTAGCGAAATTGAAAGAAGCCACCGCCCACTTGACAGGAAAATCAAGGGCCATCTTCCCACCCTCTTCTGACAGAGTCAAAGTTATAAAAGCCCCATCTTTCATCATAAATGAGAGAAATTACACTTTAGGAAATAATTTATTTAAAAATTCCTTAGTTTCATAGACCATCACAAATGGTAGGAAAACTGAGACAGAAGTAAAATCTGGTTGGGCAAATTGGGGACTTTTGGGGATTTGGAAAGCTTGTATTTAAGAAGGAGCCATGCTTTGAGTTTAAGAGAGCTCACTTATAAACTGTATTGTTAGTTCTGACCCAGACAGGCAGATGAGGAAAAGAGTGTGAGTGGATAAGCAGGGGGTCAGCCATGCCAGGGCATAAGACCTCATAAAAGCAGAAGTTAACTAAAGTTAAATCAACACTTCCCAGATGCAGACACCCAGCAACTCCAAAGCAACTTCTGGATTCAGGAATAAGGGTGGTAGAAATTATGCAACAAAGAAAGTAAGCAAGCAGACTTTGAGAAAAACAAAACATGTAATCCATGAAAAAAAGAAAGGACAAATCAGGAGCCTGTTGCTAACCAGATTACTTGGCAGCAAGGTTGCATAAGCACTTGTGGTTAGCCCTTTAAACCCCCTAGACCACTTGTGACCTTTGCTTAGTTTTCCCAAGCCCTTCCTCTGTGGGAGATTTCTCTTTCCCTTCTTTCCTTCTTTCCTCCTTTTCTTTCTCTGTCCCTCCCTCTGTTTCCTCCCCTCCTTCCTTTACTCTTTCCCTCCCTCCTCTCTATCCACCTTCCTTCTCTTTTTCTTTCTTTCTTTTTTCATCCCAGGACTGGGACTTGAAATCAGGGCCTGGGTGCTGTTTCTTAGCCTTTTCACCTAAGGCTGGTGCTCTGCTACTTGAGCGACACCTTCATTTCTGGCTTCTTGGTGGTTTATTACTCACAGATTTTCTTGCCCAGGCTGGCTCTGAATTGTAATCCTCAGATCTCAAACTTCTGAGTAATTAGGATTACAGGCATGAGCCAGCTCCCAGCTCCTGGCTCCCTTAGTGTCTAATAACCTTTTGCTACTTATGTGTTATTGCTTTGTCTGGGACTCATTTGCTGGACATTCCCAGACCTAAGCTTGGGGCAAGTGCAATCAAGTAACAAAACTATAAAAATTTCATTAGTCCTAAACAGCCTGTTTCTATAGCCCTCTGAACAATAGTATATATATTTTAAGTATTAATCCTATATTGACTGAACCTTTCCCTTCAGTAGCTATTTACCAATTTCTGTGGCTATGTTGACAGGAATGGAAAATATATATGCATAGATGTATGTGACCTGTGGTGTTAGAAATGCATGCATATATATCTCTTATGAAACCTTCAGCCGCTAGCTGCACACTGCACTCCCGGCATTCCAACAGGACATTCCTCTCCGCCCTACCGCAGAGCAGTATCCTCTGCTAGTATAGAAAAATGCTTCACATATATTCATTCATTCATATGCATCCATGCGTGTGCATTCATACATAGGCATATGTGGGATCCATTAGATCAAACTCTGCCTTTGGTGAAGCGGACAAGTTAGGGCACAGAAGGAAACAAAAGGCCCAGAGAGTGTAAGGTATTGCTTGAGAGTGCTAAGCAAACAGGTGGTAGAGATGCTGGTGCTCCCAACATGAATCAGGAACAAAAGTTTAGGGAACTGTAGTCCATATTCTAGAGCCCCAGTAAGAGTCACAAGTGTGTCAAGGATGTGGTGTTAAATGGAAGTGGAATTGCTTCTTCCTAAGGGGGGATCATACACTGACATAGCGAGCAAAGAATCACTTTGTCCCCCAACACCCCAACTGTAGCCTCCTGTTCTCCTAGTTGATCTCTCAGTGTGTATAGGGGGTAGAAGTGGGAACTTCCTAACCTTTACCCTCATCCACCCAGTCTGGGCACCAAAAAAAAAAGTCTGGCAGGTGTGAACAGGCAGGTGCCCCTGTATTCCAGGGAGGAGTCTCTATCTCAGGGTCTTCCACTCTACTCACCTGGTGAAAATCTTGCTCACTGTGAGAACAACAGCTTTCCCACTGTTTCCTTCAAGTTCAATAGAATGTTGAGATAGTGAATGGCAGTGTGTATAACACAGGTTATCTATCACTTGTCTAGGTCTGCCTCCAATTTACCGCATTTATATATTTAATGCATTTTCTGGCTTATGTAAATGAATACGTCCATTTTGTACATGTTTGTACATTGTGTGTATGTGTGTTTATTTTGTGAGCTAGTGTGAGGGTGTATGTTACTTGACCACAGCACCCACTGTTCTGTGGTGTAATTTATTTATTTATTTAGATGACAGAAAGAGAACAGCTTATCTGGAAGACCACAGGAGGCAACAGGAGGCGGGGAGATCCTACCCATCCCCGTGTTGCTCTATTATAAAAGCTGCTTCATGTTGTTATGGCAGCTAATTTTCCTTAAATGATTTAAGGAAATGGATCTGTCTAAAAGAGCTTTGGCCAAGTTGTTATAGCAACGGCAGTGGTGACTGAGAAGGCCGTTCATTTTCCTGCAGGAAAAGGGAAATCATCTTTGAATGTAGAAACCTCTTTTTTAAAAAAATCAGCTCTGGGATTCTAAGCAATTCCAGGAGCAAAGGCAAGGGCTGAAAAAAAATCCATGTCCCACTCCCAGCCAGCCCAGATCCTGGAGGTCTCTGCAAGGGGTGTAGCCTCCCTAAAGAGCACACCTCATCATCCTTCACCTGGATGACTGCAAAAGCACCTAGCTACTTTCTTCTTCTAGAAGGGTCACACCTTCTACAACTCACGAGACACATTGCAGCCCTACTGTTTTTCTGAACATATACTCTTCATTCATATGTTCCTTTATCAGTCACCATATGATTCCATACTGTGCCATGTTCTGTGCTAGGGCCTAGGAGTGTAGAAATAAATAGAACATGTTCTTAGACACCGTCACTTCCATAAGAAGAATTATTGAAAGGTTTGAAAGCAAGCAAGAGAGACAAAGATTGAAATTCTAGAAGACTCTAGAGTTTCTAGACTGAGGAACTTGGTGGTTGGAATTTAGTATTCATTGTTCTTTCTCTCTTGATCCGGTGTCATTAAGAGTTCTCCACTGACAAATGACTCTCAAGTTAAAGAGAGGGTATGTACTACAATATTCCTTATAAGCAGTATTTTGTTCCTGAAGCTTGAATTTTTTTACAGTAAAGATATTTTATATTTAGTTCAATTGAATATCAACTTAGCTGGGAGCATGGTTAAATGTAGAGCACTCAGCTAGCAGTGTAAGGCTCTGAGTTCAAACCTTAGGATCACCAAAAAAATAAAAATAAAAATAAAAAAGCTTGACACTTTTATTTTGAGTCTTTAGCCCACTGTATCAACTACATAAGCTACTTCCACCTTCCCTCATCTGCCCTCTTACAGCTAGCTCCCTATATGATAACCCTTGGATACCAAGTCAACAGTCCTCTGGTGTACCTTACAGGTGCATATTTAGATGGGAGAGGCATTGCAGATGATGGTACTAGGAAGTCTGTTTACAAATCAGCTTAACTTTTTGAGCATCATAACTGGACCTATATCCAGTGTGAGAGAAGGGGGTCTGGGTAAGGCCTTGTGCATGAGTGACTCTGGTTGTCTGGCTTGATAAGTGATATGAAGTCACTGTCTTACTCTGGGGTGCGTGGTAGAATAGAAGAAAATTCCCATGAGAAGGAGGGTGAGCCCTCACCTGAAAGGTAATATTATTTCTGGTGTTGATTATCTAAGGAAGAAGTAGGATTGTCAGACTTAAAACCGGAGAAGGTAGGAAAGACCTGAAAAGATTGCAGCACTGGAACTGGTTCCCCTGGCCTTCATTGTTACTAAGGACACCAAAATGCTTAAGTGCTGATCCTAAACAAGAAGTGGTTGGAGAATGGGGATGGGTTAGGTCTGGGAAGACAAGAGACCTACGAGAGCCTCCTGTGGTTGGTGCAGCCAATTCCAATGGTGAGCCACATGGGCTAAGCATAAAGACTGGGGGTGGAACAAGTGTGTAAAGATGATCAGGGAGACGAGAGAGGGTGACGCCATCAAAAGTTTTAACCTTTAGAGTTTTGGACAATCTTGACAGGTTACAGTTGAACCCAGATTAGAATCTTAATTAAAAGAGGGCACAGTGGTGGTGGTAGTAGAATAAAGGGACACTCCAGAGAGCAGAGAAGTAGCAGAGGGGGTCTGCACTTCAGTGGCTCTTCTTCAGGAGATTCTAGACCCCATTCATTAGGGCTCTAGGTAGGTTTCAGCATTTGTCCAACATTTATGCTGATGCTGAACACCTGCTTACACTGAGATCCCTGCTAGGCCCCAGGGACTCTAAGAATAATTACCCAGACTCTGCACTCCAGGGACAACCAGTCACAATGGGTAAACAAGAGCCATACTGACCAGAGGAAGCTATTGTTGGAAATAGAACACGAAACACTTTATATCTCAGCTCAGTGTAGTCCTCTGGGTTACGGACTTTCTTTTCAAGATCATCGTTTAATATCTAGTGTCTCCAAGAAGGATTAAGGGTTTAGTGAGTCCAAAGCTAGGAAAACAGTCTTTGAAGTAAATGTTACCTCTAACACAAGGGCAGCAGGCTTTCCTTGCCAGGTAAGAAGGGCATAGAAAGGTACTTTTCCAGGATTCTGCAGTATCGGTTGGATATTTCACTCCTGTTCAACTTCAAATGGAGCCTATCTAAAGGTACATGTGCTAATGACCTTGGGGCCCCAGCTCAGGCAGGACACCGTATTAATACTGTAGCCAAAGCCAAATCGTGGATACCATGTAAACACCTTCTTCTCCAGTGGCCACAGATACCAAGTCTCTTGTTCCTTCCATCTTCAGACAATTGCTCCTTTCTTCAGTCTAACAGCAGCAAACTTGAATTGTTTCTCAGACTCTAGCCTGAACCCCTTCACTTCCAACAGTCAACAGAAGAGACAGTCTAAAATGCGAACTTGATTCTGACATCCATTATTCCTCATTCCTATGAACATAAAGTTCCATTTTCCCTCTGCATCCTAACTCTCTAGAGCATTGTTGTTCTGCCTGTTCCTAGTACTAGCCATGGCAGAATGACTGCTAAGTCATTCCCCTGAGCTGTGCCTTCCTCTCCAAGAAAATCCCCGCTATTCCTTCTCCCTGGAAAGTTCTCCCTGCCTTGGGCATCCCTCCTGTATCACTCAGGTGTTCTCTCGGATGGGCTTCCATACCCTATGCTCCTCTTCATCAATGTACCTAGAATAACTGTCTGTGAAGCCTCTTTCCACTGAGCTGTGGCAGAACATCAGCAGCCCACAGCCTGAGGAAGCTGAGTGGGGAGCCACACCCACATCTTGGAGACTCTTGCTGATTCTCTGCTTGTTCATTTCTGTAGGCAGCAGACAACCAGGTTAAGAGTGGAAGATTGCAAACATTTAGAAACAAATCCCTGGCTGGGCATGGTGGTATACACCTGTAATCTTAGCATTTAGGAGACTGACAGGACAGTCACTAGTTCAAGACCAGCCATGGCTTCATAGTAAGTTAGAAAAAACAAAAACAAAAAAGACAAGGAAGGAAGAAAAGGAAGGAAAGAAAAAAGAAAGGAGAGAAATAGAGATATTAGAGAGGGAGGGAGGGGAAGAGGGAGAGAAGGAAAGAATGGTAGGATGAGGAAGATGGAAGAAAGAGAGGTATGGAGAGAAGAAAAAGAGGAAAGAGGAAGGGGAGGAGAAAGATGAGGAGGAGGAGGAGAAAGAAGAAAAGAGGAGGGTAAAGAAAAGGAAAGGACAAAAGAAACAAGGGTTCAGAAATTCTTTCAATAGTTCAGAAAGCTTGGAGCTGAGTGATTGTGGTTATGTATGCAACACTGAAGGTTGAGAACAGCAACCCTTTTAAAGCTATTAGGGCAGGTGCCTCCAGGCATTACAGTGTTTGGAACTGAGCACAAAGATGCCTGTAGTGAAATGTGAATTTGAATCAGATCCAGATAATGATTACTGAGGATGTGCTTCATTCCAGTACTGTCACTTTTAGCTAGAGAGAACATGTAATTTATCATTCAAACCATGACACTATTAACAGTGAAAGGGGAACAACTAAAAATAATCCAGGACCCCAAAGGTAAAAGACAACTTCCCCAGGAAGGCCAAAATGTAGGACCATTCTGATTATATCACATTCTGGCCTTTTGTTGTTGTTGTTGTTGTTAATAGTCCCTGACATGTTTTGGAAATGCACACTTATCAGTATTTACTTGTTGAATGTGTGTTTCCCTGCTGTGTTGCAAGTATCATAGTTTTTCTCACTATTAGAGCTTTAAATATAGAAGTGTAGCATATACATTTTAGAGAAAGAAGGAAGGAAAGAATGCAGTAAATGACTGAATGAGGACCCAGCCTCAGAGATGACAGCCCAGATGCACACCTTGATTTCAGCCTTCTAAGCCTCTTAGCAAAGAACCTAGTAAAAGCCATTCCTTCATTCTAGACTCATGGAAACTGTGAGACAATAAATGTGTGCTCTGTTAAGCTTTCTTCACCTCCCAAAACACACTAAGTTAGGAGAAGGAAGAAACTGAGCAAGCTGGGATCCTGGTCTAGGTCAGATTGATTCTTGCATTAATGCCATATGTCCTAGTTTGTGGCACAAGAGAATGGATGTCAAGGAAGAAAATAGCTCAGCATCCATGATGTATTAAAATCCAACCATCTGAAGATCAATCCATTTGTACCATAAATAATTTCTTATTATCTCTGTAACTGAGTGGCCTGATCTGTTTTGCAACATAGACAGATGCCCAGTAGTTTCTGAGCAAATCAATAACTTGTAGTTGATGATAGTGCTGGCAGGCTGAAGTCTCTTCCTCTTAAGCAACCCTAATCTCCTTTCTGTGGGCCCCTCAGCAGTTGTCTCTTTAGCATTCATCTAAAACATCACTTTGCTCATTGGCTTGTGACCTATCCCTCCTCCTGGCCCCGAGTCTGTTTTCACCATGTCTCGTTGCCCTCCCTGTGAATACATACTTTGCATATATAAAACATTTGGCATAACAGGATTTCCTATGTTCAGTCCAACTCAATTCAAAGTTATCAGCCAAATCTGTTAAAAAAATATGTCTACAGGGACTGCTGTTTTTGAGAAGGAGGTAGAAGCAGAAGTCATGGTGTCTATTAGAGAAACTACAGTTGGTAGGGAAGTCAGACTGTAGATACTTCTGGAGAAAATCAGATGCAGCTTCTCTCTGCAAGGAAGGCTGATCAGAGCGGCATAAGACTTTGGAGACAAGGAGAAGCAAGTTAGCGTATGAATAGCCTTGAAAGGCCCAACCAGAAGGCAGGCTAGGAAAGAACCCAAGAAAGTAAAATTCACATGCACAACTAAAACAAATGACTATTTTGTAGCCAGAATAACTATATTGCACCTAAGGACTTAATTTTTCATTAATTGTTTTTATAATGTATTTGTTTTTGAGCACACATTATGCAGCTCTTTAGTTCTGGATATTTTTGTTGGCGTCTTCAAAAAGAGTAGGTAGAACGAGTTACACTGGTACAGTGCTAAAGGTCAACTCTGGGAGCTGTGCTGTCTCTACTGTCACTATCTGTCACCTCGGTGGAGTTAAGGGATCATAAAATCACAACCTTTATAGCCAGAAGAGAATCTGATGTAATTTCACTAGAATGTCTTCCAAATAATTTTTTTTTGGGGGGGGTCCAGTAGTGGGGCCTGAACTCTGGGCCTGGGAGCTGTCCCTCAGTTCTTCAGCTCAAGGCTAGCGCTCTACCACTTGAGCCACAGCGCCACTTCCGGCTTTTTCTTTTTGCTTATGTGGTACTGAGGAATCGAACCCAAGGCCTCAGACATGCAAGGCAAGCGCTCTACCACTGAGCCACCTTCCCAGCCCCCTTCCAAATAATTTGAGTCTTCTCTTTGCATTCTTTTTGACAGAGAATCACCTAGCTTCAAGTTGAACACTTTTAGTAAGCTAAGCTCACAATTCACATACCTACTCCATCATCAGGCAGCTCTAATTGTTAAGGAGTCTACCTCTATCCATGCATTCCACATGACAAGAAGGAGGCCTATTCTCCCTTCTCTTTGACACCTCTATGGAGAGTATGATTGTTGTTCTCCAAGCTATGAAACCCCAATGTTTTCTCATATTTGTCACTGGGAAGAATTTACCCCTCTCAGCAGACTTGGTGTAAATGCCTATGGTTCTGTCTCCGTACCTTCTTGCTTTTCTTCTGGAACAGTTGGCCCTCTTTTCTGGCAGTAGAGGTAGATGCTTGCCTCTTGGGTACCTCCTCTTGCCCACATGTGGACATGTCCTCCAAGTCAGACCAAACACAGTCTTTTGGAAACGCATCATGAGAGCAACTCACGGTGATGGTAGTGGGAGCCACTGGCTGTGACACTTGGCAGCCATGCATGTTCCCCATGTGTGTCCCTTCCATGACACACAGCTGGTATTCATTTAGTGAGTTCTCAATTTGGCTTATACTATTGCAGATTGTATTTCTCTAGTTGTAACCAAAGAACCTTGACAAATACATGCAATGTGTTTCCATCATCCCTCAGGTCCACATAACCAAACCAATATTTGTGAGGGGAGTGGGAGAAGGAACTGGGAGGAGGCACTGGAATTTGTAAAAGTCAGAGGCCAGCAGGCCTAGTCACTCCCTGATTCTGTCCATATCGTCAGAATTTGTAGCTCCTAGTGGGCTTTCCCACACACCACTTCCCCTTCCCAGATTGGCCCATTGCAGCTGTGGAGTGCATTCAGATACTCACTGGGTCATTGTACATCTGCACGATGAGCTGCTTCACCCCGTGCAGGGTAGGGTGGACCCAAGGAGAAGGATCTAGCCAGTGACGATTCAGGTCAAACCCCATCAGAGAGCACCTAGAAAATGAGCAAGCTCAGAGTCAGTAGAGACAAAACAGGCTGAGCTTCTCACATGTCAAAATACATTTAGGAACAGTAATAATAATTACACCACTTCCCTAACATGTACTGCTTTCTAGAGAGAGTTTGGCCCGGTTATTTGAATTCATTCATTCAATGCTATTAACCTTATGTCATTACTACTATATTCCTGGGTCATAGAAGAAGCTGAGTCACACATAGGTAGAAAACATTTCTATGACATGGTCCATGGACCCATGCACGTCTTCTACATAGTACAGTAGAAACAAATGTTCAAACCACTGGTGTCCCCATTAATGTTCCCATTGTTCCCTTTCATTTCATACCATTTCACGACTGTCTGCCTCCAACATGTATTAATGTCTCATTTCTATTGACAGCACCTTGAGCCTGATCCAAGGTCCAGAGAATTGTGACTATCTCTTTTTTTGGGGAGGGGGGAATCCAGTCATGGGGCCTGAACTCTGGGCCTGGGTGCTGTCCCTCAGTTCTTCAGCTCAAGGCTAGCACTCTACCACTTGAGCCACAGCGCCGCTTCCGGCTTTTTTCTTTTTGCTTATGTGGTGCTGAGGAATCGAACCCAGGGCCTCATGCATGCAAGGCAAGCGCTCTACCACTGAGCCACCTTCCCAGCCCCTTGTGACTATCTCTTATGTTATCTTGCTTCCATCCTGGGCTTCTTCTACTCTACCTTTTATTCCCACATTTTTCTACACAAAGGTCAGGATGCTCTTCTTAAAATACATCATATCATGTCCTTTCTCTGATCCAGTGTCTCCTTGTTATATGCAACATAAAGGCCAAGTCTTTGCAACAGGCTACAAAGCCTCTTTTGGTCTATCTCATTGACCTCAGACCTCAGGTCCTACTACTGTCCTTGCTTGAGTGGTACCAGATATTGACTTCCTCACTGTTCTTCAAACACACCAGACAATGACTGCCTTGGGGACTGTGTGCAGGTTCTTCCCTCTGCCCAAACCCTCTTTCCCTAGATAGCTAGGTGACTCAGTCTACTGCTTATTTCAAATTTTTGCTCATCTATCATCTGCTCAGTGATGCTTCACCAGTTCACATTCTCTATAAACTCTCTTGCACATTGCATAGCTTCACAAGTGTAATTATGACCTTTGGTTCTCCTCCTCTCTTTCTCCCCTCTCTTATTCTTCTAGATCTGTTCACACACAGCCCTGCTTGTATTTGGGAGAGGGGCTGCCTCTAGAGATCTTTCTCCATGCTTCTGTCTCCACTGGGCCTCCACACATATACTATAAGTCCTCTCCAGGCCAGGCCAGAACAGACTAAAAACAACTTCCAGGAAAACCATGCTTGTCCACAGTTCAAATGACTGTCCTCCCTCTCGCCAATCCATCTTTTTCCTGTTCCCAGAATGGGCCTCATATACACAGCTGATTATATTTCTTTCTTGATCAAGATTTACTATTTGTGGCTTACCATTGTCTATAGAATAAATTATGCTCTTTGCAGATTTTCATCCAATTCAAAACTCTGGCTAATAATATCTCTGTTCTCTCCATCCTTCTCTCTCCTCTCCATAATGTCTCTTTCTCCTCTTTCCTTCTTTTCTATTGTCATCTTGTCTTCTAAACCCTTCTCTGTGTTCATAAACAATACAATTTTTATCCCTTCCCTGGTTACAAAATTTGCATTTCCACCTATCACCCTACTCAGCAAAATATGTGATTGCAGTGGTGTGGAAAATAATAATTTCTCTTCCTATCCCTTTAAATAAGCATGGTGGGAGTCCTATGGGAGGATAACAAATGTGTCATGGAAACACTCGGAGAAAAGCCTCACTGAGGAGAAGCTGTGTGAGATGGGCCTTGTGAATGGGTAGGATTTTGCCAGGTGCTGAGTCCACCAGGAAATGTGCAAGTAAAGAAAGTGTGAATCCAGCCAGGATTTGAAGGAATGGCTAATGGCGGCTCTCCTCACATATGCCTCTTTCCTTAGAGCCTGTGGGAAGACTGAGAAAAATCACATTCCCTCACCATAGTGCTGCCTTTGCCCTAATAGCAACCAGTGAATAACACGGAAATTTCCAGAGTCAACCTTTGGATCCATCTTCAGAATCTCAGTAAATTCCTGCCTAGCTTCTGCCTTGCTGGTCCAGCCTGGTTCAAATGGTAGAGAACTAGCCTTGAGCAAGAGAGCTAAAGGAAAGCAGCCAGGCCCTGGCTTCAAGCCCCCAGAATTGGTACCAACAAAACAGAACAAAACCAAAACAAAGGCACAAACAAACAAACAAAAAGAAAACCACTAAAGCAAAAGTGTTAGAAGCAAAAGATCCTGAAAAATCAACACCTTGATCCAGCCTGCTAATGTGAAAACTGTGACTGGTAAATCAATGAGCATTTCAAGTCTCCAAGGATCCCAGAGATCTTTAGAAAACCACATTTACAGAACTCTTCAGTGAGTAGACTCCACAGGACACTTTGTGGCTTGATTGTTGAACGAGGCTTTTAATGGCAGTAAGCCCATCAGTAGTCACTTGTTTGAGGAATAAAACATGGCAGTAAAAATACATGAGCTGTGGCTAGGGGACTGAGTATAAGACCTATCGCCACTCTCTGTCACTTTAGGAAAACCACTTCCCCTCAGTAGGTTCTGTGCTCCTCTTCAGAAACAAAGTAGTTGTACTCATCCATGGAGGTCCCTTGCAATTCTTTCATTATATTACTTTAAAGCATCAGTAACTGCGCTTTAGCCCCAGAGTCAGGGACTTCGAAGAAAGCATAGATTTCCAATATGGTTAAAATACAGAGAAAACAAATATTCTAAGAAAAGATCAGTTATAGTTCTAAAAAGAGCCACCAACTAACCAAAGGTTACAATATCTCAACATTAGTAGCATGTTTGTTTCAATATTTGAGATTTTTGTACGACTAGACATCATAGCTATCTTAGTTCATGTAAGTACCTTCTGTGGTATTCACCCATGACAAACTCATCTAAGGATGCATCTCTCAGAATGTGTTGCCTTTATGGTGGTATATGACAAAAGTTTGAAAAGTGTTTAAGCCATCCCTAAAATACTAGTAATACAATAAATAATAAAATAAATACAATAACCAAGTGAGGTAGATATGATTTATCTGCATTTTACAAGCAAGAAACTAAAATCCAAGAAAGATTTGACCTTGAGAAAGTAATTTGACATCTACTAGGATGGAGCTGAAATGTGGTGCCAGGGCAACCATAATTACCCTCTATGGTCCCTCCATCCATTTATAAGACTATGCTATCCCTCCCATACTTCACATTTGTCTGCTCTTCCTGCCCTGTTCTCTTTCTCCTTTGCTCAACAGCAGAGATACAATGGTTCCAGACAATGTTATTCAGACGGCAAATAAATAGCTCTATCTTGTGAAGGACATTGTGCCTCATCCCTGTTGTAATAATGGCAGCAAGAATGAGAGCAGTGATTTTAGTTCCCCTCCTTATGATTTTCTCTTCACCTCTTCTAAAGGATAAAGGAAAAGGCAGTTTGGCGGCTCCAGATCAATCTTCGCTGAGCACCGTGAGGCTGCATACTCCTGAGAGCTTTGCCATTGACAAGCAGAGATGTATGAGCATGTGTGCAATTGTCCCCCAAACACAGCGGTTTCTCAGCATTACCAATGAGCTGGATTGGATTAAGTATATTTGCACCAAAAGCCAAATAAATATGGCTTTATTTAATACCACAAAAAGGTTGAGATTCAATTGTCCTTGGCCTGAGGCACCTTCTAGTTCTATTGATTGGCCAGTGTCACAGTGCCAGACAATCTGTCATCGACGGCCCCTGCAAAGTGCTTAGCAGGTGTGCAGGGCTCTGCTGTGTATAGGGAAACAGTTCCCTTTGTTGCAAATACATCAAATGCATCCTAACACATCCAACTCCTCATCACTGCTCCCAAGACACGTAAAGCATTTCCCTCGCATCCCTTTGTAGATGACCACCACGGGAGGAAATCGGTGAGCAGGACTGTAAAGACAGAGAAGAGGGGGGAAATGAACCTAGGTTTCAAAGTCAGAAGGTGGTAGGATTCAGTCTCAGATCTGCCACCAAGTTACATTTGTGACTTTGGATAAATGTAGCTGTTTTGCTCAAAATAACTTCAAAAGGCTAGTAGAGCAGAGACTGAACCCAACTTCACCCCCACTGAGTCTTTGGTGCCAGCACGGTGTTCGGCACATAGTCCACACTCAGGTAAACAACATCAATAGAGGCTCAGGGGGTTAAGGAGTTTATCCATGGTCCAGAAGGGCAAGTCACAGAGGCAGGACTTCATTTAGGATACAACCAGGTCTAAGCTTACGTTCTTAGCCATCGTTTTTCTCTCTTAACTGGAGTCATGGCAGTGCCTGGTAGAGAGGCTGACCCTCCTGTGCAGGCTGGATGCCAACATCTTTTTGTAAATATGAAAAAAATGAATAAGACTCAAATAAAAGAATAGCATTACAGGTACCTGCATGCAAATTGGTAGTAAGTGCTCAGGTTGGCAGTTGCAAAGAGGTGTCCATTCTCAGTAGGCAAAATACAAAATAACTGCATTTCCTAGGCAGACTGTCGAGTCCTCAGCCAAGAACCTTTGTGCAGTGTACAGACTGGATATCCATGCGAGCCCCTTTTTGTTCTTAGCAAAGTCAGGATTAGCACTCAGATACAGACAATATTTATCCTGCACTGGTGGCCTTTTTTGGCAAAGTGTTAGTATTGGAAGGTAAGGAAGATATTCAGATAACATCTGGTAAAGGGATCTCTCATGGGCCTACACTTCCCAGGGCCCTGTGGCCCAACCATTATCCTTAGGAACAAAGAAAAGCTTTGTTTGAAAATATTCTTAAGAGAGGAACAGACAGGTACAATGCCTATGTGCACCTGATCATATAAAAACACTATTTATCAAAATAAGCTCCAGAAAATGAAAACAAGAGGTTTTCTTTTCTTTTTTGCTGTTTTTGTTTTCATTCCTTTTGTTTTGTTTGTTCATTTATAAGGCTTTGGGAGTGAAAGGTAGGCACAGAAATGGAAGGAGAAAGGGTGAAAAATGCAGCAGTGGTACTCACTGGACACTATGTTGAAAATGAACTGTGCAACTTGTGGGTGGGATAGGAGGGAAAAGCTAGGAGAAAGCAAAGGAAGGGGTGACATTGTCCAAAAAGAAACGTACTCTTTACCGGACTTACGTAACTGTAGCCCCTCTGTACATTACCTTTATAATAACAATTTAATTTTTTTAAAAGAAAAACTTTGTTCGAATGCCTGATCCCTTCCTGTGCACCGCATGTATTTCAGTGTTTCATCCTCACTCCATCCAGTGCCCTTGAGACACACAGTAGGCTCTGGGGGCTTTCCAGTTTATCCTCACAGCCAGTCACCACCTAGAAGGGCCTGAGATCCCATCAAACGTACTTCCAACACTTCACATGTGGGGAAGCTGGTAAGATGAAGAAAGAGAGCAGAACCCATTCGCCAAGATCAAAGGTTTCAAGTCCATTCCAGAGCTGAGGATTTTTTTTTTCTTGCACCCATAGCTCATGCTTATAATCTAGCTATTCAGAGGGGCTGAGATCTGAGGATCATTGTTCAAAGACTATCTGTACAGAAAAGATTTTGAGACTCTAATTAACCAACCAAAAGCTAGAAGTGGAGGTATGGCTGAAGTGGTAAAGTGCCAGTCTTGAGCAGAAAAGCCAAGCCAGACTATGACGCCTGGAGTTCAAGCTCCTATACCAACAAGCTCTCTCCTTTTTAAAGGATGTAAGAATGGCATTTTCTTTTTTGAAGTTTTCTTTTTCTTTTTAATTTTAATTGTTTATTGTTCTTATAAAGAACAGAGGGGTTATAGTTACATAAGTCAGGTAATGAGTACCTTTCTTTTTGAACAATGTCACTCATTCCCTCGCTTCCTGCCAGTTTTCCCCTCCCATCCCCACCCACACGTCATATAGTTCATTTTCAACATAGTGTCTAGTGAGTACCACTGTTGCATGTGTTCATCCTTTGCCCCTCCATTTCTGTCACCCGTTTACCCTCCCAAAGACAGAACATTTTCTAGAGGAGATGCTAGTCCTTAAAACTAGGAAAGAGTAATTGTAATTTCTGCAGTGAAAAGAACCGAGCAGAGCAGATACGAAGAAGTCCTTTACATCTTTCCAAGACCTCGGAGCTGGCAAGCCACTCACTCACCTGCCCTGGCACCAAGAATGGTCCTGAATCCAAGTATAGACTCTGGAGCCGTGCTGCCTGGATACAATCCCAGCTCAGCTGTGCATTATCTTTCTGGCTGGACCTCTCTGCGCCTCATCCCTCAGCTGAAAAGGGAGGATTTTGCTTTCCTCGGAAAGTTACTGTGGGGACAGAATGCAACTGTCCATGCACGCTGTCGACTGCCTAGTTTGATGTAGGTGCTACATAACCGTGGGTTGTTTTTATATTGTGACACTGGCACAATGTTCAAGGTCCTCCACAATTGGGTCCTCACTTCTTACACCATGCCAATGATCTGCTCACCATGAAAGCCTGCCACATTGGATGGCTCATGATCTAATTGTAAAAGGCTGCCTCTCCTGCTGGCTATTAGGATTCCGGTGAAATTGGTAAGTCTTACATTGTAGTCCACTGTTCTCTGGGCTGGGGCTTTTGTGTGGTGCAGACTGCAGTGCAGCCTGTGGTGGCTGCAGCCTGACTATACACAGGGCCATACTGCACTACTGCCCACTTGCCAGGATCCCGGTTCACCCAGACTCCAGCAGCAAGGTAAGTGCTCAGAGTTTCATGCCTGCATCTTCTACTATTAGCATGGGACTTCTGGCAGCTGTGAGTCAGCTTCCTTGCCCGCAGTTGAGGATAACTGAGTTCAAGTGGATGTTAGGTGGGACATCCCAAGGATGACTTTAGTAAAAGGAACACCAATTCCTTTCCATTTCCTTGATTCTCTTTCCTGAAGGTGGATATGGAACTTTTCTGGTTGAGTCAAGATGAAGGAAAGAGTTCGGGGGTCCTAACCTTGTTAAGCATGGGCTGGCTTTTGATATTATTTGTTTTGTTTTGGTTCTATTGGGGATCCAACTCACAGTCTTGAGTCTGTTCTTCTATTGGGGATCCAACTCACCGTCTTGAGTCTGTTCGGCAAGTGCCCTCCCACTAAGCCACACCATAACCCAAGCTTTGTAAGTTTGGATGTGGAATCCTATAGGAAAACTCTACTCTGGCCTCCTCTGCTACATAGTGTACTTTCGGGAGGCAGTTTACTTCTTCTGTTGGAGCCTGATGGGAACTTGAATTTGGGGGTGAAGTACAAAGAAAGCAATTTAGATACAGACACACATGCCTTTCAAATCCTGCAGGGGGTGTGGTTAATTTTGATCTCTACGTTGCCAGTGAAAAATTAATATAAAATACATAGAACAATGGCTGGCAGCTTGCATAGGTTCAATTAATGCTCTGTATTATTATCAGTGTTGTTATTTACTATTATCATGTCTTTTAGTACAAAACATGTCTTTTTCTTCTTTAGGCCAGCTTCCATTCAACTTTCAAGGTTTGTCACAAAATACTTCCTACAGGATGTTTCCTATGACTACTCATCAGGCCTCCAGGTGGGTTAGAGGTGCTGTTCTATGATGCCACAACCCAACAACTCCTGGGCCAGCACAGATGTAATGTTCAGCTTTCATCTTCAGGGCATGATGCAAAGTATGTGTTGGATCAACATTTGAGGGGGAGAGAGGGAGAGTGCATAGGTGGGAAAGAAAGAAGGAAGGAAGGAAAGAAGGAGAAGAAGGAAAGGACGGAGAGTGGGAGGGTAGAAGGCAGGCAGAGAAAATAAACATTTTATAAAAATTAAAAGGGGCTGGGAAGGTGGCTCAGTGGTAGAGCACTTGCCTTGCATGCATGAGGCCCTGGGTTCGATTCCTTAGCACCACATAAGCAAAAAGAAAAAAGCCAGAAGTGGCGCTGTGGCTCAAGTGGTAGAGTGCTAGCCTTGAGCTGAAGAGCTGAGGGACAGCACCCAGGCCCAGAGTTCAGGCCCCGCAACTGGACCTACCCCCCCCCAAAAAAGCAATTAAAAGTTGTTAGGCTTCTACAGTTGAGGCAGAATGGCAGCAAAGGAGTGATGTGAGCAAGGGCAGCCCAGTTTGGAGTGGGCAGGTAGGGGGTATGGGAAGGAACAGGTGGCCAGTGGCAGACGAAGCTGGAAAGTATGCTTAGAAACACTGTGCAGGCCTTGAGTCCCATGCTAAGCAGCAGAGGTCCTTCTGGCAGCCAACTGGGAGCCTCGGAAGGATTTTCCAGCTAGAACTGGTAAGAGGCAAGCAGCAGTCGAGGAACTAAGATGGGAAATGATGAATTAAGAACTTCATTCGTATATTTTTGTTTCTCTAGAGTGCCCAGCTACAAATTCTGCATTACTACCTCCTTGAAGGCCTGTCTTCGATGTAGAATCAATTATTAAAATCAACTTGCTATCAACTCTAACTTTGCAATGTGATTTAGCCACTTGCAGGGCCGGAGCCTGGGAGCTGCCTCCGCAGACATCCTGCCATCTGGCCTTCTGGAGGAACCTGGCTGGGAAGCTCATTTGAATAATTGGTTTTGATGGTGTGCACTTGTGGGTTAGACACCTGGTTACAATGCCAGCCCCAATGTCCTTTCAGCCTCTGTAGAAACATCACTTGGGTTATGTAAAGTAGGAGACTCTCTGGGAGGTGAGGCTGTCACTCTCTGAGTGGTCAGGCTGGCCTCTGCCGTCATTCAGACTGCATCTGGACTATGTGTGTGGCTCACTTGCTGTGTGACCTTGAACAAGTAACTTACCCTCTCTGTGGCTAGACTCCTTTGCTTAAAGAAGGAGAGTGATTCTTGCTCTGCCTGTGCCACAGGCTTCGAGTGAGGCTCTAAGAGATGTTCAGGAGTTGTGACTTAGCAGAAATACAAGCAGAAAGATTTAGGTAAGGATCTAGACAGAGTTCAATGTCAGACAGCCAAGTGCTTGTGGGCTTCATCATAAGGACTATGGCTCCCACAATGAAGCTCCTGATGGTCTCTTCCCACTCCACTGAAAACAGGAGTAAGCCTCCTCATGGGGGGAGTGTCAATTACTGGTGCCTCAGTTTCTCCTTCAGTGAAATGACAGCCATGATCCATTTGTGCTAAAAATTGAAGGAAACAATAAATGCCAAATGCCTGGAACAGTACCAAGGCAAGAAGGCTCAGTAGATGTTAGCTATCGTCACTGTCATCATTCTGGCTCAGTCCCAGACACCACACCTCAACGACAAACAGTGATAAACATTAAGAGCATGTTTGGAGGAGCAGGAAGGACAGGGAGAAAATCAAGTGTGAGTGTATAGGCAAAACATTGGAAATTTTGGGGGTGTCTGGAGATAGAGGGGGTCAAGGGAAATGCAGACTGGAAAAGAATGAGAATGCTAGCCTCGGTGCTGGTGCCTTATGCCTGTAATTCTAACTACTCAAGAGACTGAGATCTGAGGATGACAGTTCAAAGCCAGCCCAGACAGGAAAGTCTATGAGGCTCCAAAGCCAAGGGAGGAGGTGTGACTCAAGTGTAGAGCACCAGCCTTAAATGAAAATGCTAATCAAGAGTGAGGAGTCCTGAGTTAAAGCCCTACTATTGGAAAATAAAAATGAGAAGGCTCAATTCTTTACTTCAAACAGCTGATTGGCTGCCAAGTAAAAGATGAGCTAGATCTAGCAAGCTTTTGGAGAGCAGAGGCAAAGTTATAAGCTGGCAGTTTAGCCTGAGGATGAAGTCTTTTCTAACAGCTAGAGGTGACATGCATACACCATGATATCTTGGGAGGGAGGAAACAACCCATATCAGGAAGCTGACAAGTAGAGGGGGAATGACAAGACTTCCAGTATGTTGCCTTAAGGATGCTGGCAGAGCACTGGATCAGATCTCTGTCCATGACGCTGTGACCAGAACCCTGGCAGTGAAAAGTCCCTGGGGTAGAGAAGGAGGTAGTATGAGATGAGGCTGGTGGATCTCTTGCTGCGGACCTTTGTTTGCCTTTCTAGCTTGACAAAATCATGCTGTTGTTATGTTGTCATAGAACAAATAGAATATTAACATGTATTTTATATTTTATATAGCTGATTTTATGTTCTCTTCTATTTGGACAGCTTCAAATGGTTCCCTCTTGGATGCTGAGATGAAAAACAATAGGCCACCTGTAGAATGTGTGTGTGTGTGTGTGTGTGTGTGTGTGTACACGTGTGCGTATGTGAGTGTGTATTAGAAATGAGTGCTCTGGTATTATACCCTCAATGGTCAGTAGCATTTCTCTATACTCTTTAGTTCCTTTTTATGACTGATGTACACTTACAGATGTGCCATACTTTTTTTGTAGTTTTTTTCCCCAAAGATTTCTTTATTGAGATTAAGTAACTACATGCATTTCACAGTATGTGGCGTTAGTTATACTTAGCTAAAGTCTCAAACACATTGTAACCTTCGCAATGATAATCATCATCATTCTAATCTACAAAGCTTGTGAACTCTACAAACATTAACAATATAACTATTTCTTCCAGATTGGGTGGTATGTACATTGCTTTCCTTTTGCTGAATATCAGCTGTTTGCTCTTTCTCTCTTATTCCCTCCCTCCCATCACTGCCCTTGAGTTGCTTAGTTCTTCATCAATGTCCAGTACAGCTGATGGGCCCCTTTGCTGGATTTTTTTTTCACCTGCTTTCCTCTGATTCTGTGCCCTCCTCCCAGCTTCCCTCAGATGTGCACATGTATATACCATATATGAGGTAACGAATATAGAGTCTAGATATTTTAAAATCCACCCTTGTCTCTTCCCATTAGAAGGAGGTACTGTGCGCCAGGAGATTGTGTAGCATGAGGGTCAGTTTTCATGTCACAGGCCATGAAACCACTTGGGAAGCTGGTGTAAGCTATTTGGTACTTTGAGCCTCCCTTCCCTTCTCTATTTAAGACTGGGCCATCATAACACTTCTACCAGAGGGCCTGGTGAGGATCAGG